TTTTAATAATCGAGGGGCTTAATAAAATGGGTAAATTACACGCTTACTCACTGAACTTTATTCTCTCTCCTATTTCGCTCACCGTACTTTTAATTTTTTCAATTTGCCCACTGAACTTTTTTGGTTACTCGACTATTAAATTTCTAACGGCGTTAAATTAAAATTGAAAAAAAAATTAAAAGTACAGTGAGTGAAATAGGAGAGTGTTAAGTTCAGTGAGTAAACGTGTGACATGTTTTATTAATAAAATAAGTCATGTAAGCACCCCGTTACTGAGTAAACAGTCGAGTGACCAAAAATGTTTAATGCCTAAAGTTCAGTGAGTAAATTGAAAATAATGAAAGTAAGGTGAGTGAAATAGAAGAGAGAGTAAAATTCAATGAGTAAACATGAAATTTACCCTAATAAAATAATATCGTATAGTCGGAACCATTTATATACTTTACTCAAACATTTTTAATCAAAATAGAAGTTTATTAATATTGAAAAGGTGTCGGCAAAGAACCCCATCAAAGTACAGTCATGACCAACATTTGGAACAAGCAAACAACACTTAATTTCAACCGAATGTTTTGACAATGTCTTGGACATTGCCCAAAAGCTCCTTAAGCATAATAACTTGTTCCAATTGCTCTTTGTTAGGCAATTGTGCTTCCACTTTCTTCAATTCCTTCTCACAATTCTCAGTATTAGCAACGGCAGCTTTCAAATTGAGTTTCTCCGATCTCCGATTCCGCGATTCCATTGCCGTCCGGACCTTATCGAGTTCCTTCATAGCGGATACAACTTCTTGGTCACATAGTCCGTACTTCACCTGGACCTCGGGTGTTAGTGGTACAGGACCTTCGAGTACGGTGGTCTTGAGGTTTCGAGAAACGTCGGATGCATTATTAACGGTGATTTTGATGATTACCAATGCGATGACCTCCGGCTCGGCATTGTCGGGGACGTATCGACCGATGTACGATTCTTGATAGCTCGAGATGCAAAGGTCTTTTTGCCTGACCTTTTCGCAGATTTTGGTGATGTCGGGAGCGGCGTTTAGTGAAGGGAAGAAAGAAAGAAAAATGAAGAAAGACAAAACCAATGCATGATTATTCATAATGGGATTCATTGTTTTTGCCTTTAGATTTATTGATTTTACACCTTTTCGATGTGGGACAAGGTAGACGTGTTGTTTTTATAGCTTAAAAAAGAGTATTTTAAGCAGTGTTTTTGAATGATTTGAAGACAAATGCGTTTAGCCACTCATTGTGACCCCTAAAAATGGTGGTTGTTGTTAGGTTAAACTCTTCTATGTTTTGTTAGATTTGGATTTCAGTAGGTGTGTATGTATGTAATGTGTGCGCGCATTATTAATACATTAAAAAAATTATGAACTGATATTATCTTATAATCATCCGACTATTAGAAAAAATAATTATACTTATCGATTCTAATTTATATTCAAAAATTTAATTTGATCAACTCAACCTTGATTCAGACAAATATAATCTGATTGGTAAAACTCAATATTTTTTAGGGTAAACTACATCGGATAACACCGAACTTTAGGGGTTGTATCCTTTATACTACTAAACTTTTACCAATTATAGCACTGAACTTTGATTTTCGTTCCAATTATACAACTGAACCGTTAAATCGTTCACAACACGATGACGTGGCTAACGGATCTTGGCGTAGGCACCTTACCAAAACAACGTCATTTTGATCCAACTGTTAATAATTTAACAGTTCACTAGTATAATGAAAACGAAAATCAAAGTTCAGTGCTATAATTGACAAAAACGAAAGTTCAGTGTATAAATGATACAATGCCTAAAGTGTAGTGGTACTTGGTGTAATTTATCCTGTTCTTTACTCAAATTAATCTAAACCCTAAACTGATTGAATGAAAATGATTCAAAAATATAAAAATCATTGTGATATGATTATGGGTAAATTACACATTTAGTACCTAAACCATCAGTTTTGTTCATTTTAGTATCTAAACTTTCATTTTTTAAATCATACTTAAAATTTAGTTTTCATTTCATTTTAGTACCCGTTGTTAAAAACTTAACGCATTTAGTAACTAAACTATTAGTTTTGGTTCGATTTAGTACTAAACTTTCATTTTTTTTCAAACTTACGTTGAATTTTGAATGGGGTACTAAAGTAAAAAAACTAAAGTTTAGGTATGTTTTTTAAAAAATTTGAAAGTTTAAGTATTAAAACAGATCAAACTGATAATTTAGGTACTAAACGCGTAATTTACCCTAGAATTATTGGGCTTACAAAAATCATGAAAAATAGAACAATTCTAAAAAAAAGATAGAACAATTCTAAAAAAGACATCCTTTAATTGAACTAAGAAAGTACTAAAAAAACAAATACTATTTTATTTAAATTTCGGAACAAAATAAAATAAAGGGTAACTACACTAAAGTAATAGACAACATAAGAGCATGGATCCAAACTAATTATAAATAGTAATAGAAGGGTCAAAGTGAGAATTTTACTATAGTATAAGTGCCAAAATTAAATTAGCTGACTTTATAAATGCCTATAAATTTGTATATTAAAAAAAGCTGTTCATTTGAACTAGAGGTGGGTATATGAGATAAAGCCCGCAGGCTACCCGTATAACTCGCAGCCCGTGCGGGTTTCGGGCCTCAAAAAATAAAGCTCGTTTAAATTACGGGCTTATTAGCTCGGACCGTTAAATCCGTGGGTTTAATGGGTATACCCGCGGGCTACCAGCGGGTAGCCTGCTTAAATATTTAATTATTTTTTTCAATTTATTTTATGTTTTACGAAATACAATTCACGTTTAGCCCAATTCACATTTCATGTGCATTTTATGTCCATTAGAGGTCGTGTGATCAATGTTGCTCAGGTCACCGGCAATGCTTTGTCTTTGGTTAACCAGTTTGCATCCAAGCAGTAAAGTTGGTTAACTACACAATATTTACACAACAAAAAAATATATCACTATCTAGGAGTTTAGACAAAATAGCATTTACATCGAATGCTCCAAAAGTGACTTGCAATACTTTAAATACAATTTCGACTAATCTACGAGTATTAAAAACTTGTAAATACGTTAAACTCGAAAAGTAAACTTATATAGCTTAATGAGATATTTATAAAAAAATATAATATTAACACATGTTATGCATAAATTTGATATTTTCAGTGACAAATACTTATCAACATTTATAGCTTAATTGAAGGTAAATATTACTATTCTTAATGTTTAGTAAAATTATTTCTTTATAAATTTACTTTTGATTTCAAAATTTAAACTATCTAATATATTATGATTTTTCTTATATTGTAGATGAAGCGGACAAGTCTCCGGTGATTGAAAATATGGAAGATTCAACTACATCCAAGGATTCAAAAAACATTGAATATTATCGATGTTGATTTTATTTAGACTTATTGAGACTTAATGTTGTTATGATGTTATTTATTTTAGACTTATTGAGACTTAATGATGTTATTTATTTACTTGTTTATCTTGAGACTTATTGAAACTTTTGCTGCTACATTCCTTTTCAAGTTGCTGGATCATTTTTAAAGGTGGAACAAGTTAGAACATTATTTTTTATTGCATTTAAAGCATTTAAAATTGTTGTTATTTAACGGATTACAGGTAAGCCCGTTTAGCCCGCGGGTTAAATGGAAGGGCCGCGGGCCTTAGAATTCAAGACCGTTTATGATTGCGGGCTTTTTAAACCGCTCCATTTAAGCCCGTACCATCAAAACCCGCGGGTTAAACGGGCGGGTAGTCCGTATACCTAGCTCTAATTTGAACCTTTTTTTCTCTTTAAACAAGCCATGAGATCCCATTAAAGTGTCCTTTGTAACACCATCTGTGGGACACAAATGAAAGAACCTTATGCTAAAAAGCAACGGTAATTATGTGCAAGTCACATGATTTGAAATCAAACTCTCCCTTTATATTTTTCTGTTAAACTTTGTATACATTTAACCCCCACTATCTCTGGTTGGAAACAGAAGTATACACCATACGATAATTAACAGTTTTTAACTTAGATTTATCTTTTCACTTTTCAATTATCAAGTCACCTCAACGGTAAAACAAACACCAATATTTTTAGAAGTTTTGAGTTCTAAAAAGTTACATAATAATCCTACGATTATAAAATATTGTTTTGTTAAGTCATTCGACTATTAAAAGTTACAAAATGGTCACCTCACTATTCATTATATTCCAAAGTCGTCATTTTCATTTAAAAATTTAGCGATTGTCTAAGTTGGACGTTAACATGATAAATGGAATGTTATAGTCGTTTAAGATTCTGGGATCAGATTTTATCATATCACAGTCAGCAAGTTAACGTTCAACTCAGAATACCTTCAATTCCTTAATAGAAAATGAAAAGTTTGGAACATAATGAGTAGTCAGGTGACCATTTTGTAACTTTATAGTCGAAGGGACATTTTGTAACTTTTAATAATCGAGGGACTTAATAAAGCATTACCCTATAATCGGAGCACCATTTGCGTATTTTATCCTAAATTCTAAAATTTTAATCTCACACACAAACACATATATATAGGTTATAGGTCTAGTCATTTGATGACTGAAATCAGATTTTATCATATCACAATCAACATGTTAATGTTCAACTCAGAATATTGTTATTTTTTATGAAAAATGACGAGTTTGGGACATAATGAATAATCAGATGACAATTTTATAATTTTCAATAGTCAAGGGACTCAACAATACAATACTCTAGTCTGAGGACTATTTTGTAATTTTTAATAACCGAAAAACTTAATAAAATAGTATCCTATGATCGGGAGACTATTTGTATACTTCAAATAAGTTCAAATTAATTTGAATTCGACTTACGGGATGAAATTTTCGAATTCATATCCTCATATGTCCTACATGAATATTTTATAGTAATGAAAAAGTAACCATATCTTTAGCAGTTGTTCAAAGTTTTTAAATCCTTACTTTTACTGGCGAAAAAGAGGCAGCCCACTCTTTAACGTAAACTCTCTAGGTCTTAGCAAAAACCAGCAGACAGTTTCACTTTCTTCATCGATTTTCAAAGCAAAAAAAAATGCAAATCTCTCAAAATCTCTTCATCTTCATCTTCTTCTTCTCCTCTTGCATTTTCGTTTCCACAGGTACTGAAAATTTTCCCAGAAATTTTTTATTATAAACATTGCTTGTTTCTTCACTAAAATTGACCTTTTTATGGCAGATGGTATTCAATTGATACTGGTAAACAACTGCAAAGAAACCATATGGCCTGGAATCCTTGCCAGTGCCGGCCACGAAGCGATCCGAGACGGAGGCTTCCCTCTCGCCTGCAGCGAACAGACGACCCTCGAACTACCGGAAAGATGGTCGGGTCGAATCTGGCCTAGACAAGGTTGCTGTTTTGACGAAACGGGAAAGGGTTCATGTCAAACAGGTGAAACCGCGTTCTTTAAAAATTTCAAATTACCATATAATTTGATAAATAGTAAACGTGATGATTTTGAAAAAAGTGAAAGTTTAAGTATAAAAAAGAACAAGAGAAATGATTTAAATACTAAACTTGTAATTTACCCAAATTAAAAAATAAATTGAAGAAAGGAGTAAATATATTGAGAAAATAACGTGATGATTTAAATTTGATTCGAAAATTTAAATAAATTAAACTAAACTAATGTTTACATGAATTTTAAAAAAATTTAAATTTTATGTCCGTCTCTGCAGGTGACTGCGCCGGCCTTTTACAATGTCAAGGCATTGGAGGGAAACCACCGGCGACCCTCGTCGAAATGACGCTCGGGGGTCCGACGTCAGCTTTACATTACTACGACGTGAGTTTAGTCGACGGATTCAACGTCCCGGTCTCAATGGTCCCTATAGGAGGCGGTGTCGGGTGCGGCGTCGCCGCATGCGAGGCTGATTTGAACGTTTGTTGTCCGGAGGCATTGGCGGTGAAGAAAGAAGGGAAGGTGGTTGGGTGTAAGAGTGCATGTTTAGCTGCGAAATCCGATAGGTATTGCTGCACCGGTGAGTTTGGGAACCCTAAAAGCTGTAAACCCACCATTTTTGCCCATTTTTTTAAGGCCATCTGTCCCAGGGCTTATAGCTATGCCTTTGATGATTCTTCGAGTCTTAAAACTTGTAGGGCACCTCGTTATGTCATTACCTTTTGCCCCCCTAATTGATGGGTTTCATCTGTTGTGAGCCATTTGGCTTTTTCTATTGTGGTTTGAGTTCTTTTTATTACGTTGTCAACTTGTCATATGCAAATTGTTGAATTTTTTACTTTAATGATATTTTCTTGAATTGATTTTATGATTGTTTTGATTTTTTCAAAAGTAACAAATCGTTGATTGATGTTATCGATTTATTATAAGTAAACCACTTGTTGTTAATAGGAATAGGCATGGGTCGGGTTGAGTCAGGTTTTTGGTCCACCTGACATGAGAACAAAGAGTCCTCCACTCGAGACCCGACCCGACCAAAACAAGATTTCACCCGACCCGAACTCGACCCAATATATAACTTAAAAACATGACCTAACTCGACCCGAAATAGTAAAAAAAATTATTTTTATTCAATAAGAACAATGATTTAATTGGATAAAAAATAATATATAGAGGTATAAAATAATATTTTTTCGGGTCGGGTCGGTTATTTTTCACCTTAATCCCGACCCCGACCCGAACATTACATTAAAAAACCCAACCTGACTCGAACCCGATCTTTTTTTTTAAAACCCGACTTGATCAGATCCGATCGGGTCGAAACACATCGGGTTCGGATTTCATACCCATCCTAGTTGTTAATATATATTACTAGGAATAATGGAACGATAATGTAAAGCGTTTGGTTACGCTAAACAATCACGTTGACAAATTACTTACTCGCCCCTATAACGACCTTCAATCTTTAAAACCCTAATTTACTCGTTTCAAATTCAAAAATATATTTCTTTTTTTATTAATGAGAATTATATTTCAAATATATAAAATAATAATAAATTAAATCCAGGTTGGGATTGGGCTGGGCCTAAAAATGCTTGTCCAAGGCCTGATCTCTCTCTCTCTCTATAAAAAAAATTAAATATTAGGATATCAAAAATTAAGTTGAAGTGATTGATCAGGCGGTCCAATTGTATGTTTATTTTATGATACGTCATAGAGCGCCTAAATTTAAGGGCCACGTACAGGGATAGATCGAAGTGGTCGGATAGAAGTAGTCATTTTCTTAAAATTTAAAATTATCATATATTTTTTAAAAAGAATTATATTTTCTATTAAAAATTTTGTTTTCGTTCTTTTGAAATTTTATAACTCCGTCCCTTCAAAAATTTTAGAGATTTGCCTCATAGCATAAAATTTTGTGTATGTCCCTATATGTACACAAACTTTGTGTCCTAATGACGTTTCCGTTCAAAGAGAAAACAAACTTTCCGTTTGGTTCACATGAAAGTGACAGATAAAGTTGCAAATTAATATTTTGACAGTATCTTTAATCATTTTCTATGATGAATAAAAAGATCTAATAGATCCCTCATAATTTCAAATTTGATAAATTATTTTTTATTATAAAATATTTTAGGAGCCTTATTTAAAAAGATAGTGTAGGATTTACCTATCTTTTGGGACGGGCCTAGTTTAGATATAAAATATTGAAGTTTGTATTTAAAATTACATATTTAAAATAAAATTGAGCATATTATGTAGTACGTTCCCATAAATTCATATTAATAGATCAATAAATTAGGTATCGTTAATTATATAAAAATATTTTTCACACTATTTTTTTTTTGAAAAACCTAGATTTAGTTAAACTTTTTTTTTGGTTCAGCAAATAAGAATTTTATTAATAACATACCGAGGAAGAATGTCTCGTTAAAAACCTTCCTAAGTCTAAACGGAGGAAAAGAATACATTCAACCCAGTAATGTACAGACAACATTGTTCGAACTCACACGTACATGTGCAAACGACATTGTTCGAACTCTGACCACACGTGCAAATAACATTGTTCGAACTCATATTATTCGGAGAGAATAACTTTTCCTTTTATCATCACGTACACCCAAATGTGAGATATCGTGTATATCACTCATACATGCCATATCAAAGATTAGTTAAATCTTGCTGAAAGAATAACACCAATGAAAAAGACGTGTAGTCATCAAAGATCAAATCTCATATAAAAATGACACTCCAATTAAAATGTCAGTATCTACACATGTAAAAATACTTCAACAAATTGGTGTACACTTTAATCCCAATTTTCCAACCAACCTTACCTAAACTTAGGCAACCTTCCCTTTGGATTAGTCAAACATGTAGTAACAACAAACTCAATGAAAGAAGTTACCATGACAAAGACGAAATATATGAACCCACTGTTGCGGAAGACGGCTATTGGATAGAGCAAAATCGTAACTGATAATTTGAGAAAATAAAAATGAAGATAAAAAGAGACACCAAATTTACGTGGAAAACCCCTAAATAATATAGGGTAAAAAACCACGGGCAACGGTAGAAGAATTTCACTATGAGAAAATAGGAATTACAACCTCTCTCGATCTACCAAGGAGAAAACAATGATAATTCTCTCTTGATAAAAAAAAAAGAGAAAACAACTCTCAAGAAACTCTCTAGTATTGGAAGAAAGCTAGAATGCTTTGGGATGGTTTTGAAGCTAAATAAGATAGGGTATTTATAGATAAATCTTAAGGACTTAATCTTGTAAATACCCTAAATTTTAGTGACTAGAGTTTGTAATTTGACCATATAAAAAAATAATAAAAAATTATGCACCTAATTTTCGGTGCCAACCCGTTTATTATTTTTGACTTTCTACAATCTCCCACTTGAAGATTTGATTGGAACAATCATATCTTCACACCATTCTTTCTACCTTGTACCATCATGTTGCTTACGTCTCTGACAGGCCATAGGAGGATCGACACCAAGTAAATTTATCAGTATTGATCGTCTTCGTCATGAAATCTGTTATGTTGTCTTTGGTATGGATTTTCTGCATATCTATCGTCCCTTCTTCCACCTTTTCACGAATGAAATGGTACTGAACTCGTATGTGCTTTGTCCTTGAATGAAATGCTGGATTCCTTGCTAAATGCAAGGCGCTTTGACTGTCACAAAACAGAGAGACATACTCTTGATTGTGCCCAAGCTCCTCCAATAGCTTCTTCAACCAAATTGCTTCTTTACTGGCTTGTGTAGCTGCTACATATTCTGCCTCTGTTGTGGATGTAGCCACAACTGACTATAATTTTGAAACCCAGCTTACAGCTCCACCAGCAACTTTGAACACATATCCTGTAGTAGATTTGTTTTTATCCAAATCCCCTGCATAGTCAGAATCTATATACCCATTGATTAGTAAGTTTGATCCTCCGTAACATAATGCAACATTTGAGGTCCCTTTGATGTATCTCAGGATCCTTTTTACTTTATTCCAATGCTCTTTGCCTGGATTCGCCATGTACCGACTAACCACTCCCATTGCTTGTGTAGTGTCTGGTCTTGTGCATATCATAGCGAACATTAAGCTTCCCACTGCTGATGCATACGGTACTCGAGACATCTCCATCCTCTCTTCTTCACTGCTAGGACTAATACTGGAGGATAATTTGAAGTTAATAGGAAGAGGGGTAGAAATTGGCTTACAATCTTGCGTGCTAAATCGTGACAAGATTTTCTTCAAGTAATTCTTTTGTGAAAGCTAGATCTTCCTCTTACTTCTGTCTCGGTGAATTTGCATCCCTAGAATCTTGTTTGCTGGTCCCAAGTCCTTCATTTCAAATTCCCTAGCCAGTTGTGCATTCAATTCTTCAATATGATATTTGTTGGGTCCTGCAACCAACATGTCATCCACATACAACAACAATATAACAAAATCGTTATCACCAGACCTCTTGAAATAAGCACAAGGGTCAGCATTAAGTCTGTTGTATCCAAGGCACATAATGAAGGAATCAAATCTCTTATACCAACACCTCGGCGCCTGCTTTAGACCGTACAGAGATTTGTTCAACCTGCAAACCAAGTTCTTCTTTTCGTCTTCTTCAAAACCTTCAGGCTGGAGCATATAAATCTCTTCTTCAAGATTTCCATGAAGAAAAGCTATTTTAACATCTAGTTGCTCTAGATGTAAGTTCAATGTAGCACACATTGCCAAAACTACTCGAACTGTTGTTAGTCGAACCACAGGAGAAAATATTTCATTGAAATCAATACATTCCTTTTGAGCATATCCTTTGACCACCAGTCTTGCACGATACCTCTCAACTTGATCGTCACCATTTCGCTTGATTTTGAAGACCCATTTGTTACCAATTGGCTTCCTTCCTTGTGGTAGTGGCACAAGGTCCCATGTATTATTTTTATGAAGGGCTTCAATTTCTTCTTGCATCGCCATCATCCACAGTGAAGCATCTGAGCTGTTTATTACCTCCTGGTATGTTGCTGGCTCACCGTCCTCTGTTAAAAGGCAATATGCAATATTACCTTCTATAACATAATCTGAGTGCCAATTGGGACGTCTTCTCACACGATCTGATTGACGAGTTGTTGGAGTTTCAGAACTCTCTGGTTCTTGTTCATCATGTGTTGGTTCTGCTTCAGAATAATCTCATTGTTCAACCTCTTTTTCCACATGTATCTTCTACAAAGATAACATCCCTGCTGATGATCACTTTGCGGGCAGTGGGATCCCACAAGCGATACCGCTTTACACCATCAGCATACCCTAAGAATTTGTATTTCCTGGATTTTGGATCCAACTTTGAAATTTCTTGGGCATTGTACATCACGTACACAATACTTTCAAATACATGGAGGTTTGAATAATCAACTGGTTTACCAGTCCACATCTCCATTGGTGTCTTCAGCTCTATTGCAGTTGATGGAGCTCGATTCACCAAATAACAGGCGGTATTGACTGCTTCTGCCCAGAATGATTTTTCTAGGCATGCGTCCCTCAACATTGCTCTTTTTCTTTCTAACAAGGTTCGGTTCATCCGCTCTGCCACTCCATTTTGTTGAGGAGTGCTTGCCACTGTGAACTGTCTTTTGATGCCTTCTTTCTTACAAAAGTCATCAAATTCTTCGCTTGTGTATTCTCCTCCATTATCTATTTTGAAACACTTGATCTTATTTCCAGAATCAAGTTACACCCGTGCATTGAAGTTTTTGAAAGTTGAAAACACGTCTGACTTCTTTTTAATAGGGTACACCCAACATCTCCTGGAGTAGTCATCAATAAATGAGACAAAGTATTTTG